GCCGTTCAACGTACCTTCCAGCGTACAAAGGCAGTCTCGGGCGATGATGGCGCAGAAGCAGGGTTTGGCGCGTATCTAGGACCAGAGCATGGGAAGCTGCTCTTCCGTGGCGAACTGAACTCGGATTTGTATGGTCCACTGCAGACTGAGTACGAGAAGGGAAAGTTAGCTGGAACGGATGTGTGGATTCATAAAGATCGGTGCGTCAGTTTTGCTGTCCAGTCAAACACGATCGTTCATGCGACGAACAGGATGAGCGGTATCTGGGGCCGGAACACTCCGCTAGAGGAGCACTTGACGAAACACAACATCAAGACGCTGTTCTGGAGCGGTGTGAACGCCGACCAATGTGTGCTTGGAAGCGTGGTTGACGCCTACTCTTTGGGATACGACATCGTCGCGGTCGAGGATACAATCGCTACTACTTCTCCTACCGGAGCGAAGGAGAACCTCATGTACAATAGTATCAGAGTAGGTCATGTTTTAGTGCAGGCACGCATACTGTTCTCCGCTCCTTACGCTCTCTGCCTTCGTGAGCTTATCTGGATGGAAATCGCCAACACCCCGTGTGCTGCGCATCAGAATATCAAGTATACTACTAGAACGCCCATATCAGTTACGATATACGAGTGAGCAACAGGCGGAAAATAGAGCAGAGCGAGAAGATGTCGGAGCACGAGTCGAACGCAGCGGTGTAAAGAGTTGGCGCTACTTGCTCATCCCTCCTCACCGCGGTAGCTGGTACGCAAGTCATCACGTGGGCAATGGTCAATATCATTATGGCGTTGATGTATACTTCTATGTGCTGGCGATGCTCTGTGCATTGGGGAACTTTATCCATATGAAAAAAACGACTGGATTGAGATGACTATACAAGCATACTACAATACTTCTTAAACATGCATATTGGCTCGCTTATGCCCGTGAGAACACAACTATTTCAGTAAGTCAGTGTAATCCAAACCGTTTCACCATCCATCTTTCAGTGTATATCTTGATCGATTTGGGTCGTTTCGCACTCAGTCCACTTCAGTGTAATCTAGTAGTCCACAATTTCATGTATTGCGTTCCTCCTTCCTCCCTAGTATGACAGACGGCAGACTCGGAATACACGGAATACAACCTGTAGAATGATCAGCGAATGCACCGTAGACGCGAAACATAGAGACGTACAGCTAAACTACAATGTCATAAGTGTAACAATGAATCGAGTCACCGTTCATAGTATTCTAGGCGAGCATCAGTACATAAGCATATAACGCATAGAAAAAACTCACCAGGCGAGCGGGAAGAGATAGCCACAAGTAACAGCGGAGAAAAACTTCTTGAAGAGAGCAACGAAATCCGTCGCTCCATTGATAGTATTCGCCTCTTCATGAACGTTTCGGCTACGATTGTTGTGGTGCGAGTTGTTGTTGTTGCGATAGGTAATGTTGTTCGAATGGATGATATTCGTCGTGCAGTTGTTGTTGATGACAATCGGCGACGGCTGGAACTCGACATTCGGGATAGCAGTGGTAGGAGCCATTGTCGAAAAAGGAATAGCAGCGGACAAGGCGTTAGAAGAGCTGTGTGAGGCGTAGTTGGGCGGAAAGAAGTGGTCGATGTACGCTTGACGGCCTTGCATGTAGGCCTCATACGCAACGTCCTCTGAACGCGCATTAGAAAACATATTGCAAAGAAATAAGCGCGTACCGTATTTGTTCACAGCATCTGTCCCACCACCGAGATCTGAAGTCGAAGAGGAATAGGTAGCAGAGATAGAAACGTTGTCCATGGTGAGCATGCATGGGAAGCGAGTCTGACTTGAGCGGAGCTTTCGATTGTGCGGTTGAATGAAGGGCGAATGTGGGCGGAGGGATGCAGCGTTCTGCGATACTTGTTGGGTTTGTGCGAGCGATTTGACTGTCGTCAAATCGCGAGCGAGCGTCAGTACGTTCGAACGAGCACCTGGAGCACCTGGTCAGCACGTAGTTAGAGTATCAATTGCCATGAACTCACGTTCATGTCCAGTTGCTGTGTTTTGAACTCAGGAAAGCGTGGTGACAGGCGTTGTCGATGTGGGAATTAAGAGTGAACCGCACAAGCTTATGCCTTCGTCGTACAATCGTGCGAACACACTGCCTTGCTTGTAGGCATACGCTGCGCGACCTCGTTCGATCTGCGTACTCTGGCCGACAGATGCAGCTTTCTGGCACCAGATGTCCCTCCAAAAGGTATATGACTTTAACGTGCGGCGCATTTCTTCCCTAGTCAACTCCTCTTCTTCTGCCCAGCGGTCTGCTTTAGCCTTTGTTCTCCACCATGTAACTCTGCTAACTGAAGTCCATTAGCACAAAACTCAAACAAAAGGCTTGTAGTAGACATACCAGCCTCGTCCAGGGATTCTTCATTGGATGAGCTGGATTTCTGGTCTGCTGCTGCAAACTCTGCACCCAAATGAAAGTACCATGGCAACCTTTGCCTGCCAGTACCGAGATCTTCTTGAAGTTGCGTCAATGCCACTCCATAGACATCGCTTTCCTCCAGGTTCCGGTATTGTTTGTGATCCTCTGGCAAGCCAAGAATCAGCATCGATTTGTAGCACCGACGATACCGATTTGTAAGAAGGTCTATTTCATCCTTTTGTCGTATCAGTGTTCTGGCTGCCATAGTCTGGGGGCCTTGATGTCGGACATTTGTACGTTTCATTGCTTGCATCACGCGTCGCCTTCGCACCGCTTCTCGCAGCTTCTGTAACAGGTCGAGCGCTTGACCCTTCCTAAGTTCGAGCTCAGTCGCAGACAAGTGCTCTAAGCCAAGCTGTCTTCGGACCGCTGGATCCTCATATGAAGATGGCAAATGCAAGGGCTCTTCTTCAGGAAACGCGCATATTCTGCCGTTGTATTCACTAACAGCCGGAGTCATGGTTGACTGAGCTTCCCGAAATCGATTTAGATGCCCGGCCAGGGCGTCACGGGCCCGGTGAAGGCCAAGATCTATGCTTGCAGCGTCTTTCCTGAGTACTGCAGAGGCACGAG